TCCTATGTTTCAATTTAAAAAAAGGGTTATTCTTACTTTTAAGTCACTGCATCTTTGCTGTGTCTCATTTAGGTATTGGGTCTTGTAGCCGGCATTTTTGCACAGCCCTAGCCCACATGACTTTGCAAGCTCATCTTGTCACTAATGACCCAAATACAAAAATCATCCAAACAATGTATTATGAAGTTCTGACTTTACTCCACTAAAGACCCGTAACACCAACAATTGATAAATTGTAACGTTATAGCAAAATTAGAAAGTACCATTGAGAATTCTCACAGAAGAGGGCACAAAATGAATCACCGTATCTACTTTATACTACTATACTACTAAATATTCGTTGTAAATAAGTATATTAAGCAATTATAGACAGGTTTTGAGTATCACTGTAGGAAATAGGAGCCGAAGGAGCCATAATTTCCTGATAAAAAATAATATTTTTTGAAGGAAATAATGCACACGAGATGAAAAGATGCGGAGGCACTATATCGATATAGTGATTAGTCGTGGATAGGAAAATTCAGTGTAAATAAAAGTATGACGTCACCACTGTATAATATGTGTCTATCTTTGCAATATTTATAAATTCCATTATTTTTTCTCGTTATTATTTTTGGGTGTAGACCTATTGGTGGTCTTATCAAAATCACCTGTTTTTCTGCAATTTCAAACCAAACTACACAAATGTATTGCATCAGTCGTAGGACCCCGTATTTTATTGAAGACAAGAAATAAAGTTTTAGATAGATTTTAAAGGTTTTGCTGTTCTTAAATCATTAAACTGATCACTATGAATGTCATAGAAATATTACCTCGGTGGTAATATATACGTTGGATGCGTATCCTCATGATTAACAATGCTTATGCATATCCTGATACCATCAATATGACACTAAAATAGTTTTATAAACCTAATCGTTACAAAGATATTGCCAATTATATTTTGGCCCAAAAACATGATTTTTGAAAGACATATCTTAATAAGTATTATGTTTCCGTCATGCAATTATTTGTGCTACAACAAATACATTGACGAGGGCTGACTAATTTGGCATAAACATTATTTCAATATACCGAAACGTTACAGAGATGTGGTCTAATTTTTTTTTCTTTTTATAAATGGAAAATATAGGAGATAAGGTCGAACATTAAACAAACCGAAACAGATTTCTTGTAACTTGAATTTGTTATCCCTACAAAATGTTGTACCTTCATTCCAGAGGGCAAAGCAGTATCCACTACTGAAACATCACTGCTTCCAAGAGACCAGACTAACTATTGGATGAATACCCATTACAATCTCATTATAATGGGTGTTTGGCGTACTTAGATTTTATTTTTATGATAGAAAACTGATGTTGTATAATAAAAACAATATGAAAACTATATACCTATCATAATAATTTATATTTTTTATTTCTTATATTATAGGTATTTTCTAATGGCGACATAAAGATATTTTCACTTGTTCTCCATGCACATTTAGCAGGTTTGTCATCGTACTCTTTGGGGGGGGGGAACTAGACCGAGGAAAAACATATAAGACGTCCCATTGTAATCAGTTTTTATATTTTAATTGTCATTTACTTATTGTGATATTTCTTGGTTTCATACACTTCCAATGTTTTAATTATAATCGTCGTCATGAGTCATAAATAAATAATAACAATAAAAAAATAGAATATGAAGGCCTGAATTGAACTGATCATTTTATTTATAATTATATACTGCAGGTCTAGCTAGACATTAAAAAGAATAATATACCATATCGACACCGTTACAAACTGTTTGATACTACCAGGCTGTGTGAATGGCTCAACGCTACTATTTACTTGGTATATAGGCCTACACCAATGCCTGAAAAAAGAAAGGGCTAAAAAAAAAAACAGTGAAGTTGTTTACCAAATCATCTTTTTATTACGATTAGGTTGAATATTTTTTTCAAAATTTTAGCAGTATATGGGCCTACTTTATATATTTTTTTTAGTATTGAAATCAAATTGCTTTTGTTTCAAGTAATATTTTGGCGCTTGATTGTTGCTCCTTTTGATTACTAACATTTTTGGGCTATATGTCAACATCGATATATTTTTTTTCTGTTTCGTCCATATTTCTGTTTATTCGTGATTACTCCCTTAGTACTGGTACTGGTACGGTCATAATGCGCCACTTCATTGTGGTTAGTTATAAAGCGCAGTTCTTTTCCCTGGTCATTGGGGCCACATGCTAAGTGTTGCTGCTGGTAATCAGCGTCTATTGTGTGTCTATGTGTGACGACTGTACGTCTTTGTCAGTAATATGATCAACCAGTCTGTAATGCACATTATTTTGCAATGTATTTTGCAATAAAAATAAAAAAAGAAAATAAACTAGCCAACATTTTAATGTGCAGTAGGTTTGTATTATTCACCATCAAAAAAACGTTAATGCTGCTTTTTATCTGTATTATAACAGCAATTGGTATACGGTTAACACATTACCGGAATGGAGAGTACATTGGAGAAATTGCACGGGATAAAACATATGACTTTAATCTACAAGAAACAAGATACCTACAAAATCATTGGACAGTAAAACCGGTAACATTATTACCGTATTAAACAACAGAAAGTTAAGAGAGTGTTGCCTACATACCCCTATAATACTATAGGCCTAATGTGATGTTTATAATAAGTACATTAGGTGAACAGTTAATTAACAAAAGTATTAACTTCTGAAAAATTTTTAAAATTTGTAAGGCTCATAATTTTTTACTTGGTCTAGGGCCGTTGTTGCTTTGCCAGGCCACTGCCACCCGGCATTTTGCCATCCAGTGATTTGCCCCCCCCCCACAACCTTTTGCCACCATGCATTTTGCCATCCGGTTTTTTGGCATTTTAGGCCCGTTGCCAATCAGCATTTTTTCATTTATTTAAATAGGGCGATGATCTACTGGTAGAATGCACATACAATACTATGGACAGAGAAAAACCTACATTTGTAAGTAGAAATGGATTGATAATTATAAGAGCCGCAGTAGCTAACACAACTAATGAATAAATAGATACTTGAAGTAGAACTTAATATATGAACTCAATAAATCCTCATTAAAAAATGCTTTCGCTAGCTGTAGAGATCTTAAAAATTATAATTAACCAAACAATTGACTGGATGTAATTATATCAAAATTACAGCAAAACAATGTGAAGTGTAACGGAACAGCAGTAATTAGTAATAATTATGATGTTTGAAATCACGTTGCACGAAGGCAATTGTTTTTCAGAATGGTTTAGCATCAATGGATGAAATGTGTGTGGCGTTTTTAATGTACTATCCGAAAGCTAATGCTGATAGATGTATGAGCAATCCTCATCCCAAAAACTTGGAGACGCTTTTAAATCTAGGTGACACGAGGTAAGTTATCTAACAATATACACAATAACATTTCTCGAGACATTATTGTGAAAGAAGTGGAATTTAAATGCTGGTGTAAGCTGAAATAATTACTCATAATAGGAGAGGTTATGTTCCTTAGTAAAGTTAACAGAAAATACTTTCTCTTTTTAGGCCCATTGGGGTATTTATTCTTGAAGATAATTTGTTACTGTTACTGGGCATTTATAAAGCGCAAGCCAAGTGTCCTCCAAATTTTAAATTATCCACAAATGTTCCAGAAAAAAACTATCTCAAACCACACAAAAAACAGTCTATGGATAAACAACAGTAAAAAAGACAACGAAAGACACAGACTGAAGCAGAGACAAGTGAATTAGGCAAAAATATGCGTTTTAAGTGATCTTTTGAAAATATTAACATTAGAAATGTAATATTATTTATTAAATTTAACCCGTCTTTTAATTTTGTTATAAAGATTTATTGATCGTTTCTCAACAGAGACCAAATAACTATACAAAGTGCTATACAAAGTTAAAGAGAAACACACAAACAATAAAACCTATAAGCGGCGAAAAACAACAACACTAATATTTTTTTTGAATATATAATATTGTAAAGCGCCAAGTAAGGCTTGCTAATATGCCACTAGATTCCAACAGTTAAGCTCTAATCATTTAAGACCTTTTTCATGGTCTTCTTAGCTATCGAATTTAACTGTACAAATAATTTTACATGTGAATAACAAATTTCTAGTCAATAAGGTGTAAATCAACTCGAACTCGTATATGATTCATGTTTAAAATACATTCTTATACTATCCAGTTATAATTTTGAAATATCTCATAGATAACTCCTAAATAGTAGTTCATATGTGAAATGGATATGGGGTGTGGTGGACATACCCATAATTCAGTTAGAAAAATATCGTCAGATTAATCAGGGATATTTTTATTACCCCCTAACTGTGACCATATACACTTCGTTAAATTTTAATTTATAGTGTCTAAAACAGTTTATAATAACATAAGTGTTTGTAAATTTACTATTAAAACGTCCAAGTAGAAACAACGATAGGACTCCTAAAAAAGTTATGGTTAAATTACCTATATTGCCAAAAATATTTAACAACTGATGTTAAGACCATTCAAGTCTATTAACATTGATTTATTCGATTAGTGCATCTAATCGGCGTTGAACCTAAAAAATAAAAATCTTCTACTCAATAAATCTGTACAGGACTCTAACCAAAACCTCTGATACTATGATGAAATTCAACCTGTGAAGAAGAGGATACATAGAAAGACTAGCACTGAATCACACCAAAATAATTATTCAGTTCAACTAAAGCTATTCAGCTCTGAACTTAAAAAGACAAAAATTGCCTTCTTATCTTAAGGAATTGACAGTTATTCCCACAACCGAAATGTGTGCATTTACACACTTGCCATCTTGACATTCTGCACAGAATTCAGTGCAAAAAAGGCCGTTCTTCTTGCAAGAACATCGGTGTGTTTTATTATTGTCGTCAGTGTATCTGGTGATAATTTGCCATTTGTTACCTTCCATCCACCAATCCGTTGGTTGGAGATTTTCGTTACCTAATCATAAGTGAATCTGATAACAGACGAGATAGCAGTGGTACATTGCAACCTCGAAAGCTTGCGGTTGACCTTAATATCAACACCGTTTAGGTCTGTAACAGCTTTTAATTGGATTTTTTCTGCCGCAGTTCATTTAAAAAATATATAATGCAGTTCTACCGTCCAACTTCGTGTTTATGTCATCACCGACATCTTTTGCAGGGTGGGCTTTATTCGAGTATGGTGCTGTTATTCTTAAAACGATGTTGTAAAGGAATTAGTTCTCAGAAAAAGATCTGCAATCCTAATGAAAGTATTTATGAATTGTATAGGTATATTCGGTGTGATTTTTTATTCTAGCCAATCCAATATTTTTGTTTTCATTGGTTCTGTGATTTCTAATCTCTGGGCAAATATTGGCATAGACAGTACGTTGGGTTTCATTTACCTCGCGAACTCCTGATGATTTGAGAATTATTAAAACTTGCTCAATGATAATATCATATGCCAACCCAGCCCGATCTTATGATAAGCAAACGGCCAAACCCATATGCACATATAATGTAAGATTTCATTCTTTGAGATCAAAAATATTCTGCAAAAATATATGTGAAGACTTGGCATAGTTGTTATAGTATGATGCTGCGAAGAGGGTATCATGTCCTGTGTACTTTTTTTATACCTTATTTCCCGAACTTATGTTTTAAAAGAGGAGGGCGGAAAAAATAAAAATCAGAGTTTGCTTTCTTATTTAGCAAAGAGCTTTGCCAAAAACCAAAAAGCCAAAAAGAAAAGCTTGCTCTATGATAAGATCTGATGTCAACCCAGCTCAGAACATGTTCGATCTTATGATAAGCAAAGACCAAACTCATACGCGACGGGTGAACTAATTTAATTTTTATTCGAAATCATCATCACTGACGATGACTAGTTTACTAAACAAGGTATTTAAAAAGTCTCGCCTAACCATAGATGGGAAGGGAGCTATGTGTGGAAATTTGAGCACTGTCGTCCTCTATGGCTTTTTTCAATACTCACACATTTAGGTATTACCTACCAGCAAAGACCTTGAATGCCATTCAAGTTAACATCTAGTTAACATAATTATGATTATTAATAAATTATTAATTAAGTCATGTACAAAGTCAATCACAGCTCTCAATCGACCCTGTTTCATAAAATAGCCAACATACTATTGAAGAAACTCATCATAGTGTTAAAACGACAAAGTTTAAAAAATATGTTTATAAATTGGTCTTTGTTCCGGTTGTTTTATGTAAATAAACTCACCAAACCTGAAAAAGGCAACAATGAGAAATTGCATAGTCATATATTGAAACTGTTTAAAGTGTATGGCCAGTCTGGGAATTAATTGATAAACGAAGGTTCTAATTATAAACTATGTGTTACTAGTTAGTTAGTTGTTCATATTATGTTTGGCTGAATAAATTGAATGAAAAGTTTTAAATGATTTTTTTATATTATTTTCTGGGTTTTTTTTTTTTTTTTTTTTTTTAACAAATGATATATATTTTATCTTTATAGTTCGTAATTGTGATATTTTTAATGTACTGAGGAAACTACTCGATAGTTTATTTAGTTCACTTTTTGGTTTTCCTATCTCTTGTTTCTCTTTGTTGCGTTTGTTTGTTCTTGTCTTTTTATTTTTGAAAGAAATATATAAGATAAAATGAAATTAATAAATGATGTGAATGACACAATTCTGTAGTGGTTGTCTTACTTTTTTATAACATTTTAATATGACTTTGAAGAATCATTTTTGGATCAAGTGTTTAAAAATATTATGTATACATTAAGTTAGCTACCTCTATTTTTACATTTAAAAATGCGTCTTTGATCATTCCTTTTGTAATTCACACATTACAAGTGTTTTTTAATTATCTATTTATAATTATCTTTATCGTTGACATATTGGTTGGTTTAATTTAACTGACATCAATACGATGGTAACATTTTCTTTAAAGGAACAAAACATTGCGTCAAGCTTTAGAAAACATGGAGTGGACAAATGAAAGGAAATATGCTGCCCGTAGATGGTTCATGACATCCCGAGTGTTAAAGTGCACAAATTATTCTGCTAATTCGGTGTTTCCTAAGTATAAGAACATTCCGGTAGGTTTAATAGATTTCATCATTATTTTCAGATTCTCCTAGTATATAATTATTTTTAACACGATTACAATAAAACAAAACCAATATTTATTATATATATATATATATAAATATATATATATATATATATATATATATATA